ATTTAAGGCTAGACAGAACCAGGAGTGATAGGATGTCTGAAAGTAATCTTGCAAGAGGCTCCCCAACATAAGACATACATGGACCTGTTAGAGCGAGTGCAGAGGAGGCCACAAAGATGCTCAGAGGGCTGGAGCACCTCTGCTCTGGAGACAGGCTGAGGGAGCTGGGCTTGTTCAGCCTGGCATACAAAAGGCTCTGGGAAGACCTTTAGAGCAGCTTCCAGTACCTAAAGGGAATGACAAGAAAGCTACAGAGGGACTTTTGACAAGGGCATGTAGGGATAGAAGAAGGGGAAATGGCTTTAAAATGACAGAGGGGAGGTTTAGATTAGATATTCAGAAGTTTTCCACTGTGAGGGTGATGAGGCCAGGTTGGTCAGGGCTTGGAGCAACCTGGTCTAGCAGAAGGTGTCCCTATCAGTGGCAAGGAGGTTGGAACTGGATGAGCTTTAACGTGTCTTCCAACCCAAACCATTCTAGGATTCTGCAATTCTATAAGAATAGGTCTCCAAAACTCTGGCTTCACTCCCAGCATGCATTTTCTGCATGGTCCTTCATCCGCTCTGTTTGTCAGCAACCAGCCTCCTTCCACCACCAGTACCTGATTTAGTCAATTCTGGCATTAAATTATTTTCACACTTTTGTTGTTACAATTGCCTAGAAAAAATATTTGGTAAACGTGCCACAAAATCTTAAGATCTATCATGAAAGGCATTTATACTCTGGAGAAAATGTTCATGTATACAGAGAGCTTTAAATACATTTGGCTGGCTTGGCAGAGTTCAGCACCTTCTCTGGAGCATGGAGCTTCTACCCCATTTGGGAGATTTGTGTTCAGTTACTTTATTACTGTTCACACTTAATCTTCCTTCAATTTACAGCAAACATGAGCATTTCTAGCAGGAACAGAGGAGCTGGGGTCACTCTGGACTGAAGTGACTTTTGGAGGTTACCCACTGGACATCTTGTGCCTCCCAGAGCATGGGTATACCTGCACCAGACTCACTTCCCTGCTGGAGAAGGTTCCAGTCAGTGATGCAGGGAAGTTCATGTAAGGCCCACGGCCTATGAGCATCACCTAGGCCCTATACAATATTAGTGTGTGCTGTTTCTCACTTACGGGCTTATCAGAGAAAACGCAGCAAGATACAACCAGCAGCATACACTGCTTCTCCCTTCCATTATTTAGGCAGGCAGAATTCCATTATTCAGGCAACACCAAAGGCTCTCATGGCATGGATGCAACATGAAGCATAATGAAGGCACCATGTCATTGCTGCAAGGCAGGTTTGGGGCATCTCGGTTCTTCCCCCGAAAGGGGAAAGGCAGGCTGATCTTGCTCCTGCTTATCTTGCAATGGATCTTGCAGTGGATCAGACCATGCTATTCAAATCCTCTGTACAACACTGCTGCCTCAAAGGTACAACAACCAAGCTTAGCTTCTAACGTTGTCTTGTTTATTCTTTCAAGTCCTAACACTTCATTTTCTTTTCCTGTTTATAAGCTGGTAATTTGGTTGTGAATATTCTCGTATCTGGTGGCTTTTTGTGTAAAGGCCTGTCTGACTGAAACGTCTCAGCTTTCACTTTTCAGGACGTTCCCAGCATTCAGAGTCACAAAGAAATGCCAGTAAGTGGAATCCAAAAATCACTGAATCACAGAACGGCTGAGGTTAGAAGGGACCCATAGAAGTCATCTGGTCCAACCTCCCTGCTCAAGTAGGGTCACCTAAAGCACATCCACCATTAAAAATCTACCATAAAAGGTCAGAAACCAAATAAAAGACAGAAAACACATTAGCACTATCAGTTAAAAAAACCTAAAAAACTACCAAAATTATCCTTTTCTTGCGAGTTTGACCCACTGCTGTGTAGTCTAAAAGTGTGGCAGTGATGATCTCAGCCTGGCCTGTGATGGAGAGGAGTCCTTTCTCCATTAAACAGTTGCTCAGCCCTTCCTGGTAATCAGGCCCCTTCTGGAGCTCTCATGAATCATGTCCAGTTTGAAAACCCTGACCAAGAAGTATATATAACCTCTCTAAGCCCTTTTCCGGTTTTAAAACTGAATTCCTAATGAGTGGGTCATTCTGATTATAACATTGGCCCTGATGGGAAACATGATGGATTTCACACACTTTGTTTCAGTCTGTGCTGTTGAAATGAGGGACTGGGAGCAGAGATCTCCAATGGCTTTACTGGATCAGAGGGAGCAGGCTGCTGAGTATCTGCAACTGCCAAGCACAAGGAATTTCAGAAAAACAATCAGTGTACTCCAAGCCTGCACTGAGCTGGCTGGACTTCACTGTGCTGATCAGGATTGAGACCAACAGTCCTTATGTTAGGAAAAGCAGGGCCCTCTACTCTTAGTGAGAAACTATACGTGATTTTTTTTCACCTGCAGCTCCCTCAGCCATTCAACCAGCAACTAGCAGCACTTGGGAGGTTTATGCACCACTTAGCACACTCAGTGAGAGAGCCTTAAATGATGCACAGCCTTATGCTGACCTTCTGCCCAAGGCTAAACCCTATGCTTGATGCATTACACACCCCTACACAAGCTCCCGGGGATGTACATATGTGACAGTAACCCAGCTTTGAGAGCTGACCGGGGGCAGTTTCTTCTGGGTGCCATACAGTCACCCTAATTTGCTCTGTGATCTTTGAAAAGGCAAATTATATTTATGAAACACAGGAGGAGGGTTGCACTAAGCAGCTGCTCATTTTCAGGCCTGACTAACCAGAGAGTAACTAGGACAAAGTTTGATCCATTTCAAAATAGCGTGTATTTTTAATGACCTATAAGCCCATTTTCGGAACACAGCAAGGACTTTCTGCTTTAGTTTGAGTAACAGCCTCAGACTCCTCCTTCACCAGCAAGGCTGAAAAACGTAGCAGTAGAACAGTCACCCCACGGACTGATGTCACCAGACAATGCCTCAGTCACTGGATATAAACACATCTTTCAGGGCAATAAGGTTCTGTTATACAAATGTACACTGTTATTAAAGGGGGCTTTTTTTTTTTCCCAGTAAAAATACAGGCATTTTGCTCTCTAATGTATTACCTGCAGTGTCACCCAGCCTGGCAAAGTGGCAGAAAATCATTCTGGGAATGGGTAAACCTCTGCAGAAGACAGAGTATGTTTTTGACCTGTAGATGGGTTGCAGCACAAGGGAGCTAATCCCACAGAGATCCACTTGGATCCATGGATGGTTCCAGATTCTTGCAAAATTCACAGAGAATCTAATCAGTGACACATCAGATTTCACACAAGTATGGCTTAGCAGCCATGTTCAGACTGAGGGATGTAACCAATTGTCTTGCTGGACCAAGGCTACAATTTCCAAGATGATGTTTTCTCCATTTAGATCCGTTTCAGCACCATTTGCATTTTCTTCTGCTATCAAACTCCAATGGGAAAGCACCAGCGTGTGTACGTTTATGCGTGTATGCGATATTCAACACACAGAGAGACAGGACTGACACGTCTGTCACACGCTCTGTGAGACAAAGCTGAGAACATCACCATATTCACTGGGAAGTTTTCCGTTCAGTTTACCCAAGGGTCTAACGACCTTCATCAAGAGACAGTTAAAAATAGCACCAATAAAATGAGTGCCGCTCATTTTCTCCCTTCTGTCTTGCAATAAGACCACCACCCGCTCTGTTTACTCAAATCACATACTCCGTTATCCAAACACTTCTGCAAACATGTCCCTGAACTGTTAATCATTACCATGGGAAATACTACTCCCATCTATACAAATTATAATGTAATTTGTGTATCTAAACATCACAGCTCAGCTCACCTGTTCTGCCTGAGGAGGCAAGATACCATGAGCACTGATGAGTTCAAAGGGAATACAACTCAGAGGAAATGACAAACAGTACTCTCATCAGTAGCCTCAAAGAACGGCAAATGGCTGTATAAAACGTGATTTTCTACAAGACAGCACGTCAGTGGAAGTTGGTAAAGCAGTACATCACTAAGCACCAGACGCAAGACGAAAGCCAGCAGGAGCCCCTTTGCTTGCTCAGTGCAGCCCACCTGTGGGACCAGCTTTGGATCAATGGAGCAGCAATAGCTGCTGGGGGATCCAGGCCCACCGCAAGCAAGAGGAGAAGGGAAGCCTTGCAGGAAAACCCTCCTCCTCCCTGGCAATGCTGTTGCCAGCTCCCCCTGGCTCAGGGGGGGTTTGTAAAGGGATGGATTTGAAATGGCCCCTGTCTGGAGGGTCTGACACACCGAGACAGCCCTGCAGCCTCCAGAAATGTGAAGCACCCCTGTGCAGGAGCGACCTGTCGGAGAAGGCCGGCGTCCCCGTCTGAAATAGGTGAGTTGAGCAAGATTCCTGGTGCCCGGCTGGAGCGGGTGTGGCTGAGGTGACACCCCACCCCCGGGGAGTGCCTGCAGGTGCTGGGGGACAGGGCCGCCAGGGCAGGCCGACGGAGGGCGCGGGCAGCCGAAGGGCTTCCCGCAAAGGCGGCTGCCGGTGATGCCCGCCCCGTGTGGGGCTGAGAGCGGCGGCAAACCAGAGGCACCTCGGCCCGCCCAGCACCCCAGCGAGGCCCCCGGAGCAACGGGCACCCCCAGCCCAACCCCCCCTCCCGGGCCACGCTGCGAGCAGGCAGCAGGGCAGGGGCAGGCGGACACCCACGCCACCGGCTCCAGACCCCGGAAGGAGGGGAAAAGGGAGGGAAGATGCCCGTGTGTCCCCACGGGAGGAGCGGGGACCCGGCGGCCCCCCGCCCCCGCCGGCCGACTAGCTCCTCCAGGGACGGCCGAGCCCCCCCGCAGGCCCCGCGCCCGCCGGGGGCACCGCCGCCCCGCCCCGGCGGCCCAGACCCAGGCGGGGCTGGACTCGCCCTCCGCCCCAGCGCAGAGCGGGGCACGGGCCGCCGCAGGCCCGGCATTGTTCGCGGCCCCGGGGCGCTGCCCGCCCCGCCCGGGCTCGCTGCCCTCCGCGGGAGCCGCCCCGCCGCCGCCCCCCCGCCGCCTACCCCAGCTGCTCCTCTCCCGGCGGTTCCGGGCCATGGCGGGGCGCGGGGCTGCCCGGGCCGCGGCGGCTGCAGGAGGCTCCGTGCGCGCTCCGAGCCGCGCTGCGTCTGCCGCGGTGGCGCGGGGCGGGCGGGGGAGCCGGCAGCAGCATCCCCGCCCGCCGCTACGGCGTGGCACGGCACGGCACGGCACGGCGGCCCCTGGGGCATCCGCCCAAGCCGCACCCGCCCGCGGGCACCCACCCGTGCGCACCCACTCGTGCACCAGGCATGGGGAGCAGGGACACCCACCTCCCGGGGCGGCCACACCCTGCGACACACTCACACCCAGCACCCTCGTGGGCACCCACACACCCCTGGGGGCATGGCGGGGGACCCAGCACAGTCTGGGTGCACCCACACCCAGGTCACTCTTACCAGAGCACTGGGCTTGGGGAAAGGGATACCCACATGGGGGGCATCCACACCTGGGGACACTAAGCACTTTCATGGGCATCCCCCCCAACAGAGGCATCCCCATCTGGGGCACCCCCATGGGCATCCACCCATGGGGGGGCACTGGGCACATAGCTCCCCAGTTGGGCTGCCCTGTGTGTGATGGACTGGGATGGGGCTGACAGATTCATGCTCTCCAGGGTGACACTTGCACAAATGTCCACCCAGGTAGGATCACACACACAGCACGTAGGTGGGACACACAAACCAAAGGAAAGCTACACACAGCAGCTCATGGCACACACAGAGCTGAAACATGTCATGAACCATAACTACAGTGTACGGTGAGCACACAGGGACACATGGGCCGAGAGGGATCCTGCCTTGGCATGGGGGTAAGTCAGCTCCAGCTCCCCCGATTCTTGCCTGTGCCGGAAGCATCCGCAGGCAGCAGGAGATACATGCTGTGCATGTGCGGATGCTGCACAAAAGATGCAGCTTGAGGACCCAGGCTCGGGCACCCCTAGGGAAGATCTAGCTGCAGTGTGATTGATAACATGTACCTTCCCTCCAGATTTCCCTCTTTAACAGCAAGCGCTTGTTCCCTCATATTTGGGATTGATTATGCACTCTGCCATGTAAGACCATGACTCAGCCCAAGGCAACAGGAATGCCCAGGTGCAAAACTTGGGCAGGGAAGCAGTGATGCTGGCTCCGCATGCTGGCTGAGTCAACGTACCCCTTGTGCCCTCAGCCAAAACTTCCCACCTGGAGAGATGCAAGGAGCATGTTCTCATTTATTTTAACTTGTCTTCCTGGGCTTTCTTGCCAGCTGCAGCCTCCCAGGCCTGCGTTCATTGTGCAAACCCAGGAAAAGTGTGGAAGCCTTCTGCAATGCCAGCCACAGAGAGCTCACCCACTCCCACCCACACGGTGCAGACCAGCACATAGGTAAACACACTTGTCCTCAGCTCATGTTTGCCCACACGATGCCAACAAGCTGCTGGAGTTGACCTGTCTCTGAAGCCACAGCCCTGTTCTGCTCTTCGGAAGAAGCACAGCACAGTGCTCAAGGAACAATGGATTAAACTGGAAATGTGACAGTCACCAGAGGATTCTGTGGACTAAAATCTGGCAGGATGAGAGGAAACTGAGCCCAAGACTGCAAGAAGCAATTCTGGGAGAGTGCTGTTCATTTCTGTACTGCTAACCTCCAGCAGTCAGGGAAAGCTGTGGCCATCCAGCATTGCTGGATGCACAGAAACAAGCAGGATCCACTCTTCATTTCTGAAAGTGGGAAGAACGTTCACAAGTGAACCAATTTTCTCTTCCGGGCAGCTCATCCGTGCTACAGCCATGTGTTGTTGCACTCCCATTGATGTGCTGGTACTTAATTTGTAAGCGCCTTTTCCAATACTCGGCGACTGCCTCCCGTTGGCTTCCTCGCTGTGTTTACAGCATCAGAGCAAAACATATAATTTCATCTCGCTGAAGTGCTGGCTCACGTGGCAGGCAGCTGAATCCTCCTACCCGCAGCTGCTGGGCCCTGCGACCACGAGGAGCTCAGCCGCTCACGGCCTCTGCGGAAGCTCCCTTATGATTTTTATAAATAATCCCTGCAATTGCATGTGCCTGCTGCTTCTTCGAAGTGGCAGAGAAGTACCTGGTATTGTGTGAGGGGGGGTTCTTACGCTGGATACGGTTGGAGGAGTTCAAACAGGTTGAAAGAGGAGATTAAAAGAAAAGCAGCTGGGAAACGGAGACAGGTGTAAAAGAAAGAATGTGGAAAAGAAGATCTGTTCATTTGGAAGTCTAATTAAACTGAGATGGGCTTAGGTCCTGTATTCCTCGTTTCCTTTGAGAATTGCTGCTTAGGTCAAGCTTGTACTCCCCATTTACTGGCATTTTTTCTGTTTCTCTTTCCATTATGGCATGTGGCATCAAAATGAAAGCAGAGCAGAGAGGTTTGATCCTGTGCTGTGCTGGGGGGATTGACTGCATGAATTCCTGAGGCCTTTTCCTGCATTATTTCCTCTGATCCCTAGTCAGGGGGTTTTGCAGATGATTTTGTTTCTGGGGAGTGACTCAGCATTTGTTCACTTGCACCCACCATCCATCCCTTCAATCCACCAATAGAGCCTTCTTTTATTTTCCAGTTGAAAACAGCACTTCCTAGGAAGTATCTTTACATTCTTGGTACCCAAGTTGTCAGATCACAAAGAGCTAATTTCACAGCAGACATGCTGAACAGGCATGCAATGGAAGGATTCTTGAGGAAAAATAATACTCCACAGAGATAGACTGCAGGCAGGGGATCATCCAGGCTGATGTGCCAGGAGATACAGTGCTGAAAAGGCCCCAGAATTAGGAGAGAACCTGGGTTTAAATTCATTCTGTGTACTGCTCACACAGCCTGCAGGGCAGTTTCATAACTTACCTTGATTTGACTGGCCCACTTACCCAGGCAGCATTCACAGTTGCTTTTGATATCCCCAGCCCTTCACAAACAGAAACCAGCTGCCTTGTGCAATATTTATGTAAGAGGTGGGAAAGAGACGCTACAAAATCTCTGCTCTTTCTCAGGTGCCACCAAGTACTCGCCAGGACTTGCTGTTGAGGGAAACCATGCTGTCTGCACAAGTTTTCCTTGCCATGACACAGACAAGTCTTACCCCAAGTGACAGCTGTTCTTATGGTGATTATACAAGGTTCTTGAATATGTTTGCTTCTTCCCTGAAGTTATTATTATCACTTCTGCCTTCTTAGTCTTCACTTTTTCACTGCTTATGGTTAATTGCATGGGAAAGTAAAAGGATTATAGATCTCAACTGTACTTGGAGCATTACATGGACTTCTCCCAAGCAGTTGCACTCTCTGGTGGTGATTTGTCATTGTTTTAATTTTTCTATCCCTATTCATGGGTAAAGAGGCCACAATTCCTAGAAAATACCAAAAAGTGATAAAACAGAATCAGCTTTTCCCCCACTCTTCTTGAAAGCTGAAGCTGTCCTAGCATCTTTCTGTTTTTTTTTCTTACTGAAATATTTTTAAGTAAAGCTGATCTTTGTTGCTGAGGAAATCCTTCTATTCCGGCTGTTCCTACTTCTCACTTCGAATAGTGTTATGATCGCCTACATTTACATGGGGTTTGCAGCCAAAGGAATTATCTTTGCTTGTCTTGTAAACATAATTGCACACTATTGCTGTAACAGAGCCATCCTATTTCACTCATAGAGGAGGAAGAATTTAGCAGTTAATTAAATTACATATTTATTCAGTCTGTGCAAAGGTCCTTCCTTCCAGAAGATGCTCTGCAAACTGAAGGAACTACTTAAGAATACAAGAAGCCGTGTAGATAAAGAGCCACCAGCCTAAAGCTTTAACACCATCATCTGCGTTAGACTATCAGGCCAGTTTCCAGTAGGTTCCTCACCCCAAGCAGCATCCTCAGAGCTTTGCAAGATTTTGCTGGATTTGAATAAAATATCCCAGTCTCAGGTGTGGGTTCAGATAATACAGCAGACCCATCTGTGCATGTTTTGATGCTGTACCTGGAACCTCACTGCCTCGCAGCACCAGGTTATTCTTTTCTGTCACAGACACAGGCATACTGGCATTACACAACTAACTACAACCTTCTGAGATTTCTCTTCCTTTCTCTTACCTCTCTTTAGAGTCAGTAAGATCTCTTCCAAGCTCAACTTCCCATCTATTTCCAATATTGTTTTTAATTTGTTCTTTCTGTCTTGCACTGACAGTCAGATGGATGCAATCTTCAAAACAACCTTGCCAGTCTCATTTTTTGCAATGTGGCTTTAGTAAATCCAAGCCAAAATCTGTTCGTGCCACGTTTGTTTCTAGGATTTCCCCCTGAAGATACACCTCATCCAGGGAAAGGGTTCAAGTTCCTCTTGCATCTTGGCAGAAACAACTGAATCCACCTGCCTGCATGATTCAGCAAGATACCCACAATATGTTCCAGCCAGGTTTGTGCACCTGGAAATGGGGGAGCAGCCAGGTTCCCAGGCTGTGCTCTCAAGTCCCCTTGTTAATGCTGCTTTTAATTGAACGGTCACATTTTCTTGCATCCTTGTGCTGAGCAGTTGCTGTCAGCAGAGCTGCCTGCTTCACCTCTGCCCTCCCGCGCATGCAAATGGAGAGGAAAGGCATACAGCTGCTTTCCTTCCTTTGAATGCAAACAGCACAATCAGCTGCAAAGTCTCCTGAGATACATCTATGTAAACAAGGGGACACAAAAATAATGTATATCCACTAGCACTCCTATTCCTTCTGTGAAAAATAGCCCCTTGCACAATGGTCTTGGTTAAGGCTGGTGTGAGGGTCTGAGCTATGTCTTATTAAATTGTCCTGGCCTCCAAGGAATACAAGTCTCCTGAGAACCTGAAAAGTCTTTGCTCTCCCTTAGTGTCTTTTCTGTCTTCCCAGAGCATCTCAGCAACAACCCCTGGGGAGATCCTCAGTTTATGGGATATTGATGCTTTCTTGAGCAAGTGAATTCCCACACCAAACATTAAGAAGCATCTAACACCCCTGGACACCATCTCCTCCTTCTTCTTTTGCCCAAAGATGCTCCCTCAGCTGTATTCATTGTATCTGTCTTGCCAAGACCTGTCTTGTCTTTCTGCTCTTGTGACAGAAATAGTATGCTCCTTTCAGAGCTCCTTTACCAAAGATCTTTAGTTTCTTCCAGGCATCTTCTGTATTTGCTATCATGTGTCCACAGCAACTGCCACTCCAACAGCCCAAAGGGCTGTTCAAGCAGTGAGACACCATTTGGGAGCCCGTGAAACTTGCCTTACCCCTCTTATTCTGGGTCCCACAAGCAGAGCTCACCAGGCAGGTAAAGCAGCATTAACAGCACTAAGAGCTGCTGAGGTGACCCCAAGAAGCTTTAGTAGGTTCAGCATCCTGCCTGTCACAGGCAGAATTGGACTCAGTGGCAGAGATCTGCCCACAGAGAGCCTGGAAATAGCTCCTCTGCAGGCTCCTCACTCATGGCCATGGAGAGACAGGGTGTAGCAACAGAGTGTGTTTTCACTGTGGAGGAAAAATAGCCTGGAAAACCCAAACCACAAACTTAGGAAAAATGCTACATCTCAAATCATAGGGAAGATGCTGCAGCATTTCTTGAGAGCGTACTTTGTCTCCTCAACAAAGTTCGATGTAAAATACAGTATACTGCAGGAATCGGTAAGTGGGAAAAGCTGCAGGCCCTCAAGTTGATTCACAAGTCTTCAGCCTCAGCATTGATGTGCAGCTGATCTATTTTATTATTTGAACACACCACAAACATGAAGCAATCCCACAAAGTATTTTTGAGTACCTTCCATGTTAGAAGTATCTTAGAGTATGTGAAATTAAAGACATTTTAGCAGTCTGATAAAAACTAGGGCTGAAGTATTTTTTTCTCCATGCTGTTGGCTCACAGCTCAGAGGTTCTTATTTGACAATGAACATGCATTCACACATACAGCACATTCCGCTGCTTTTAAACCCACCTTTATTATATTGCTAAGTTAGAAACTTCTACAGTTTTGCGTCCACTGTTACGAGACACATCTCAATGTCTCATTAAAATAACCTTGGCTGTTCTTCATTTTAAGACTACAATGCAAACAGATCACATTCTCTAATCCTACGTAATGCCTTATGTAAAACCACTTAACGTTCCTTTCAAGGCTGGAACCCATTCAGATGAAAGATGCTGCATAAAAGCACATTCCTTAACATGCTTGACCAGATAAGCAATGTGGTCTAGGGTAGAAGATACAGAGTGAGGATTGGTGTGTGTTCAAGAGTACAAGCCTGGCAGTGTGCAGTGCTCGGCCATGTCTTGCACCATACACTTTGTACAAATCATTTACCTCAATCTTTCAGACCATGAACTGGCAATAGGAACACAGTTCTGGTGCTGCTATTATTTATGTGGTCTTTCCAGTAGTGCTTCCAGCAGGGACTGAGACCCCGCTGAGGAAGGTGAACTAAAGCTCAGATCACAAGGCAGGCTCTGAGAGCTCACTCTTCACCACTGGCAATGCAGAACAGGAAACTACACCTCCGGGTGAGAAGTGAAACTTAACCCAGCAAGGCCAAACCAGTGATAAATATGGGAGCCTTTGCATTAAATTGCAATTGTTGGACACCCCTTGGATGTGTAAGATGTTCTGGGAGACCAAGCCTTAACGCAACATCTGCTACTGGAAAATTAAATGGACTCTTTCCTGTGCCGTCATCTGATGGCCTGTCAAGAGCAGCGAATCAGTAGAGGGAAAGGAGGCGTTCAGACCTTCAGCCAATGAAGAGAAAGACAAAAGGACACAAACAGCTTGCTATCAGGAGTGCAGGAAGCTAATTTATGGGGGAGAGGTAATTGTTTTGTTAAAAATTGCTTGAGGAAATACAGCTCCCTAAAGGGTATATAGTTTCTTCTTTATTTGCTGGGTGTTCAGGAAAACTTACATATTTACATTGAAAAGAACATACAGGATGTAGAAGGCTTTCAGAGTAGAAGGGGAAAATCAGTGTGAATCTCTAAGTTAGCAGTTCTGTGCTCCCCTCTCTCCCTGGAAGCAGGCCAGTTTACATTTTGCAGTGTGTTTCTGACACACAGTTTCAAATGAGTCCACAAATAAAGACCCAATAATATCAAACTATGCAATTCCCGAGAGTCTGCACACATTGTTTTTGAGTAAAACTTGAAGTGACAAACTGAGCCTAATGACTTATGCTACAGAGCCCTGAGTTTTGAAGGAAAAGCTTACACAATCAGTACTGCTGTTTCAGGTATTTGCATGTGGGATTTCTAAATATGCTGGAGTAAGCTTAAAGACTCCAATTTAAAGTAGGAATCAGTACCCAGATACTTTGTCCACAGACTATATTGAACCTCTGTGGGCTGTCTGACTGGCAAAGAGGCAGAATCTATTCTTAAATAACCAATCCGGTATCCTGAACACCAGACTCGTACATCTGGCATCCATTTAATTCTTCTCTACCTAACTTTTGCAAACGTATTTCCTGCTTTGAGTATGCATTGGGTTGTGGGGTTTTTTTTGTGCCTTGAAAATGACACCTCCTTTTAGGCCTTAATGATTTTACGTGCAGGGAATACTACTGCTAGTTCCAGCATTCCAATACTCTGTATCCCCAGCTCTGGGTTTCTTAAATTGTTTAGCACTCATTTGACAGCCCATAGGTGAGTTCTCCAAAGAAGGGAAGGCAGATACAGAATACTTTCCATCTTACAGTTTCACAGAAGCTTTTTTGGCTAAAGTCAAAGGAGCCCAAGGAAACAAGTCCTGGCAAGTCCAAGTTAATTTGCGTGTGACTATCATTGCACTACCTGCCCACAAAGCTAAATACCACAGTGCTTGATTAGCCCATGAAAAGGATTACATGAGGCATCTGCAAAGTTGCAATCCAGATTGCAAAGGAGGAGACGCTGCCCAGGGAGTCCTACTCAGTCCGCATCCCTGTTCCCCCCAGCCAGTACATCTTCCTCTTCTTGCTCCTCCTTGCACCTTAGCTATTAGAAAGAAGTTCATCCCTGGGAGGGTGGTGAGGCACTGGTTGGCACAGGTTGCCCAGAGAAGCTGTGGCTGCCCCGTCCCTGGCAGTGTTCAAGGCCAGGCTGGACGGGGCTTGGAGCAACCTGGTCTAGTGGAAGGTGTCCCTGTGTGGCAGGGGGTTTGGAACTGGATGAGCTTTAAGGTCCCTTCCAACATAAACCATTCTGTGATTCAATGAGCTCTGTGACACAGCCTGAGGGCAAGCAGTGGTGCCTTCAGCCGCACTGGAGCCCCTCTGCACCGCTGGCTCTGTCTCCACCGAGCACAGAGACATCCTCTCCGCACGCTCCGCACTGCGGGGAGCCCCCGAGTCCCACACCCGGCATCGAAGCCCGGCGGAGCAGACGCAGAGCCCCCTACAGACCCAGCTCGGGCCGCCGCCGACTGAGGGGCGGGGGAGGAAGGCCGGTAGGAGGGGAGGAGAAGGGTGGGCCGGGCCGGGCCGGGCCGCAGTGGGGCCGTCGGCCGCGTCGTGGCGCTGCGGCGTCGCGGAGGTTCCTGCCGTCCCGTTCCGTCCTGACCCGTCCCGGCTCGGCCAGGAGGTTCGTGCGTGCGCAGGGGCAGGGGCCGCGACGGGCAGCGGGGCCGTGGCTGGGGTGGAGCGCGGCGCAGCGCCGGGAGGAGGAGGCTGCATCGCTCCCTCTCCGGCGGGACAAAGGGCTGTGGGCGCGCAGGTAGGAGGCGGCCCGGCCTTGCTGCGGGCCTGGCTGCAGGCGGGTGGCTGCCCGGCCGGCGGCGGACGGGCCGCGGCGCCTTCTCAGTCGCCGGCAGGACGGGACCAGACCTCCTTTCCTACAGCCGCTGGGGCCGGTTGCTCCCCGAAGGGTTCGGAGCTTCCCCGTTGCCGAGAGGATCCCCGGGAGCCGCCCCAGGCTTTGGAGGGTGCTGCCCCCGCCGTCGGGCCGCCAACGGCCGTGACAACCTCCCGCTGCCTGCCTTTGTCTCGGCAGCCGCGGCCCAGAGCCCGCCCCGGGAGCCCCCCTCAGCAGACGTTTTCCGCCGCAGGGGCCATGGGCCGGCTGCCGCGCTAGGAGCGTCCCCAGTTAGCGGGGCGAGGAGGGAAGCGGCCGCTGCGCCCCTTCCCCGGCCGGGGGCTGCGCGGGGCCAGAGATGGAGCCGGCGGCGCGGCCGAGCGGGGATATCCTGAGGCGGAACCCGCAGCAGGACTACGAGCTGATCCAGCGAGTGGGCAGCGGCACCTACGGCGATGTGTACAAGGTGAGTGGACAAGGGCTGCGTCGGGCGCTGCTCGGGGGGCTCCTCACGGCGGGGCTGGTCGCAGGGCGTCAAGAGACCGGTTGGGACAGAGTGGAGAAAACTCGTGGACTCGGGGCACCTCTGGCAGAGTGAGGTTTCCCTCCCTGCTTAACACTTCTGTTTGTAAGGATTGACTTGCAGCGTTGGCGAAGGGTCCGTTTTGCCCATCCCTTCACTGGTTTTGTAGAGGTTTGAATTCGTGTATATTGCGGGTGATACTTGCCACGTTACTGCTAAAGAAGGTAAAGGATATCTACTTGCTGTACCTGTTTCCCGTGTGCATCAGTTAAATCACCTGATTAACAGGGTGCAAGTTTATCCCCGAGGTTAATAATAGCACACAAAAGGCAGAAGCAGATTAAGGCTCCTCAGAAGCTAGAAGGAAGTTACAGCTTCTACAGGTAGAGTTTGCACTGCACATCCAGTGGATGCTCTTGAATGATATGTACTGGTTCTCATGCTGCCAGAACCACAGCCATTGGAAACATGGTGTAGACTTGGCAATAATTGGGTTAATAATTGGACTCGATAACCTTAAAGATCTTCCAACCCAAACAATTTTATGTTTCTGTTATTGTGCGGTGCATTCCTCTCTGTACTTCTCTGGGAGATCCAAGCCCCTTCCCTTGAATGTCAGGGATGCTCAGCAGCTTTCAGGGTTGGGTCTTAAAAGTTTTCGGCCTTAGTTTGGTAATTTGTGTTTTCAGCTGCATGGGAAGAGTGGATATGCTGTTTTAATTTGTAGTGCTCTTCAGTGTGTTTAAAATAGAACTGGCACAACCAACTGCACAAGAAAAGGTGTGTTGTGCTGCCACATGAAAGTCAGTGGTAATTGATCGTGTGGGGGGAGGGTGCTTAGCTAATGTTCAAATTGAAGTTTTATAGATGGATCTTGTTCCCACCATCCCTTTGAAATGGTTACTTGTGGCCTTAGGGAGTTATTTTTTTAAATTCTTATGGTGCATATTTGCCTTTTTTACTTTTCCCTTTTTTCTTTTTTTTTCCCCTCCTTGAGTGCTCTGCACAGACCAGTCAACTTCTTTGCACTAAACCTAGCACTAAATTCTTTAAAAGGACATTTAAGGTTTCATAAATCAGCAGCTCGGTGTACCTAGAGCTGCTTTGAGTATGCCTGCATAGCACAGGGCAGCACGACAAGAAATAACTGGTTGTGTTGCAGAGAAGTATTTCTGTGTAATCTCTTTGCTCTTTGTGGAAAAAGAAATATTCTGCTTCTCATTACCCTAGTAATTAGAGGAGAGCTGTGCTGACATGTCATACAGCTTCCGGTTCCGGAGCTGCTTTCAATGCATGGCTCTGCTCTGTGCCATGTAAACATATCCCCTTAAAAAAAAACCCACAGCCCTCTTCCCCCACTTCTGTTCTTTGGGTTATGAAAAATGTCCCTTCTATTCCTGACGCGGTTTCAGATAGGAATAAACCTGAACCTTCTCAGGTTCAAATTGAAATCAAAGTCTTTGGCAGGCTTTTTAGACGTAGTTATAAGTCTAAGGTTAATGAGTTTAAAGTAGTTTGAGAGCCTGCATTTGTTTCTAGGTCACTGGTTTCCCCTTTGTTTTCATAAAGGCCTGCACGACGGAGGAACTGTATCAAGGGAATACTGAATCAGATGGCACATTACAACAAATGTGCAAAGCAAACTCATTTTGAAAAGTCATTGATGTTATGTTAATTTTTAAAGTAACTAAGGTAAACTCTTTTTCTTGAAAGGACTTAACATATAAACATTTTACTTTTATTTTTCTTAGTCCATGGTAAGTTTCTTAGCACAGATAGTAAATCTGGTGCTTGCTGAGGGCTGCTGTCACTAGTGTTTATAAAGTGCATTTCTTAGTGAATATCTGATTGTTGTTATGTTGCAGAGCTTGGGCAAGGTTTGCTAGAGAGTGCTCTTAAATGAAAATGGAATTTTCCTCTCACCTCTTCAAGTGGTTTTTCAGCTCCGTCGCTAATAATGACTCATCAGTGTCTCCAGCACAGTTGTTTTTAGGATGTCTGAATGAGGCAGCCTTTCTGATTGTGGGAGATCTGCCTCTTCCCCAGATGCTTTTTGGTGGTGGTGGTTCATGCCTCAGATTCTTCTTGGGGTATTTGGTAGCTTTTAGAATCACAGAATCATAGAATAGTTAGGGTTGGAAAGGACCTTAAGATCATCAAGTTCCAACCCCCCTGCAATGGGCAGGGACACCTCGCTCTAAAAGTAGAGGAATTGGTTCTTTTCTGGATGTGGAAGGCAGAGGTTAAGCAAATATTTGTGCTCACTATTAGGTTACAGAAGAGTATTTAAGGCCTTTAAGCTTAAAACTGAAATGTATTTTTCTTAGTGTTTTTGGGGTTTATTTCTCTTGTCTGTCACATGGGACACAATGGTTGATTGTATGCATTTGATGCAGTTTAGGATGGGGGAGAAACCATCTGTGAATAAACTATTTTCTTACCTCTTCACAGCATGTGGAAGTAGATCCAGGCTTGGATCTAGCATTCTTGGAAGTACAATTTCCATTAAAATCCTAACATAATTTGTCTCTAAAAGCATTGTATTAAACTATCTTAAATTACTGACTTCTGAAAGTGGTTGTATTAACATAGACTGGCTACTCACTGGAACTTCATAATATGCTGACAATATTTTTTTTTGTTCCCACTTTCTGCCAAATGATCCTCGGCATCATATCCCTTAGTGCTGCACAGATGAAATCTACAGGAGTAAGGTTTTAATTTGGCTTTCCTCACAAGATTTCTATTTGCTCTCCTTGGACATAGACATGAAAAAAGCAGTATTTAAAAAGGATGAAAGTTTGTTCATGCATCTGCAGGATTATGCTGAAATAGATGTTTTGTGTGTGGTTGATGCAGAAACATCCAGTTGACCAGTATCTTAGAGCAGAAAATTTAAAAAGTCACTAGGAACTGTAAATGGAATTTAATCTCCAGCACTAGGAAGTGGCCAGTCAGATGCCATCCCAGGTAAACTCCCATGATCTGGTTAGATCTTTCACAGGGTGGGTTTTCATGTCAGCATGACCTGTCAGTGAACCTGCAGCTTTTCAGTAGGGCCTTTTAGTCCAATTTGTATGATGCCAGTTCTGGTAACAGGTTCACATTCTCAGCTCTATAAGGATGTGTTTCTGCAGCCTCGGGTATTTTCTGGGAGTACCTGGAATAGAGTAAGACAGGCCTGTTCTGGTTAGCTTGTGGGATTTGGTTACATCAGGACATCAAGTCATTAGGGTATATGTAGATTTTGATGTCCTGAAGGGACACATTAAAGGGTGGTAATTTACTTTAGCTGTATCTTACTGGGATTTCATAGAATCATAGAATGGTTTGGGTTGGAAGGGACTTTAAAGATGATCTGGTTCTGACCCCTTGCCACGGGCAGGGACACCTTCCACTAGACCAAGTTGCTTAAAGGCTGCTCATTTCCTGCATGTGCTTTTTATTTGAGTATTTATTAGTGACTCGGAATAGGTTTGGTGGAGAGATTTAGGGGAAATAATACCCTGTGTCATGGCAAGAGATGTGGGGTCACCACTGCTTTCACATGAAAAGAAACTTTAAGTTGTCTTCTTGTGAGTATCCTCACTGTTGGCCTGTTGACTCTACTGTGGAACAAAAGATTTCCGTTCACTACTCTGCCTCCTTCTCCAAGTACACAGGACTTGATTTTTTGTGTTTTTTAATGCAAGTGCCCCAAACAGAGTTTTAACTAATCTTTGATTTTGGAGAAGAGGAACAAAGGGTGGTTTATGTAGACTGTCTTTTTGAATGCTCTTGTTCGGTAGCTGAGCTGAAGGATCCTGTATGTGCTCAGCCCACTGCAGGCTGCTTCTGCGCGATTAGTAGTTGGATGTCTGTCCTCCCTAAGAGGTGATGATCAAACATGATCTTGTGCAGCAATTCTAAAGCTGTCTTGTTTTGTTTTGTCCAAGCAGATTGTGAACAGTGCTACAATAGCTTACTTTAAAAGTAAGCACAGGGAATGAGAAACATACCAAATTAATAGCAGAAACCACTTGTAAACAAGAGATGCATTTCTATTGAATATCATGGAAATTTCATTCCTTCTTGAATCACCTGCTCAGTCTCTCTTTCTTCTCTTAGGATTTTTCTTTTAATCTTCTGCACCAGAAAAGGGCATTAACTTACAAGACACCTGTACTGGTTTGCCACTGAGTGTGGCTGCAGGAAAATAACAAGCAATGAAATTGGATCGTGGCACACAGACTCTTGCTCCAATACATTTTTGGAAAAGGAAAAAGAAAAAAAAACCAGTTTGAGTTTTCTGTTGTTTTGGGTTTGTTGGGTTTTTTTGTCGGTGTTTTTGTTTTTAAGTTTGTTATAGATGTGAGTCTCTGTCCAGTTGGGGTCAGGTTTTGGCCCCACTGTGTGATCAGTGCCTTACTCCCAGAGCTCTGGAGTGTATTTTCTCCTTCAGTCAAAGGCTGTTGAGAACCCGCATTTGATATTTTGAAAAGAATTCTTAATGTCAGTCTGATTTCACAGATCATGAGAACTTACTGGGTAAAGTGTTCTGCTACTTAAAGTCAGCAGGTTAAGAATGGAGTGTTAAGGCTCTGTTTTAATACCAGAGTACAGTTACATCTATGGTAGTTTTTAATCACATACTCCCAACTTTATATGTTTTGGTAGCTGCAGACTGATTAGATTGGCTATCCCCAATTCAGCACTGCTGTCCCTGGCGAATATACATTGCTTACACATATAAATTACCATAAAATGTCTGCCACATCGGGGATTCCACTCTTCCTCTCCAGATCAAAGCCTTCTGGTTAGCAGTGTTTGCTGTAGCCATGCCTGAACTCTGCCTACTCTTGTTTTTCCATATGAAGGGTGTTTAGAATGGCATCAAACCAAAACTGTTAAGTTTCTTCTAGTTGCTGTGCAGTTTCTCTTCTCAGAAATTGCATGTTTTTCTT